GTGTGTGTGTGTGTGTGTGTGTGTGTGTGTGTGTGTGTGTGTGTGTGTGTGAGCGCTTCTGAATTAATGAAAGGCTGATTTTCGGTTATATCATACTTTGAATTATACTCGCATTGTGCTTGTCTTGGAGTTTGGGCGGTGGTGGGTGGGGATGGGTAGGAATGGGTTATGGGGGATGGGTGGGGGATGAAGGCATATTAAAGCTCAACAACAGATTCATCCCCACCCCACCATCCCTTCTCCAGCGACTGAAAATCATAATTTGAAGAAGAAAAAAAAGAAAAAAATACTTCAAAAATTAAACCATAAAACATCCGCGCGGCTTCAAATAAGACATAAAACCGGCAATGAACAAATACTGTAATGACCTTGGAGTGACTATATTAATAGTAGTGAGGCAGCGTGGTGGAATCAGGCTCTCGTCAATTTTTGGGCATGTGGAGTTATTGGTATCATCTTAAAGTTTGTTCACTTGCCTTTATTTGGATGAAAAAAAATATATCCATATACAATGTATCTTGAATACAAGTCGAGATATTTGCGACAGAAGGAGGTGGGGGTCACCTGTTTTCAGAGGTAAAGTTGGTGAGAAAGTGGCCGCCAAAGATTAGTTATTTCCTTAGATTAAAAGTCCGTGGTAACTGAAAATTAACATGTTTTGTGTCTTTAATCAACGTTTTAAAAAAAAAATCCACACAGAAATGAGTTCTTTAATGGGCATGAAAGGTGTTGAGCCAAAAAAAAACCAAAATTTGATAAAAATTCAAAAATCTGCGGAAAAATGCAAGTTTCTTCACTTTTATTATTTTGACGAGAGCCTGATTCCACCACGCTGCCTCACAGTCAGTTACTCCAAGGTAATAAGCCACCAGACCATTTAGCTTACCCTAAATATTTTTTTTAAACCCCCCCCCCTCCCCCCTTTTTACCTCGCACCCTCCCAAAAGAACCAACAATAACGGTGTGCGTTCACAAGGGGTCACACAAGCCCTCACACTGAATGTCACCACAACAGATCCTCGCCGCGCCCACACCCGAGCCCGGGGTGCAAATTGCTGCAAAACGGCGGCAAACCCTGGTGGTTGTCGTCCGGATCTCTCCCGTTGAGCAGACGGGGCTAAATATTGTAATGGTCGGTAATTACCCCAATAAACGCACTACCTTTTACCATAATTAGTCGTCTGCGCGACTGGTACGGAACGCCTTCTGTTTGGGGAAAACCCGTACTGTCCTCCTTTTTTTGTTTTTGTATGTTTCAACC